TTTCATAATAATTATAAATTTCATGTTTGAAGTTTAAAGCATATTGTAATTATTTCTCAATAAATTTATCTTGTTATTCACCGAAAAAGACTGTTTGAAAGTGAAAATACCATTGATCCGAAATGCCTTCTTAACACACACATTTTGGTTGATTTTGACCCAGAGCTAAAAAATAACTGCTGACACCCACTGTCTGCAATCAGATATGTGAACAGGTATTTGGATATTGTGTGAATTGATATCAGCTTACAAGATATGCCACTTTGAATTCTGCAGAACTCTTATTACAAGTGACACATTGCATTGTAACATATCTAGATAGGTGGATGCTGTACAACTCAATGTAAGTTTTATGATGAGCTCAAATTGCTATGCTGGCGGAATCCATGATCAAGCAGCTGGTGGACCAGAATAACTAATTATAATAGTGATGGCGATAATAATAATAACAAACAGTAGTTTAACGTTTTTTTAAACTAAATTTTAAAATATTTTACTACATATTTGTTTGTTAAAACATACAACTAAAAATAAAGGGGAAAAAATTAATTTATACTTATTTTCTGTCTTAAATCTAAGCGTTCATATCTAGAAGAAATTTCTATTGTTCACACTTTGTAATTCAAATATATTGATGGCTAAATATCAAAACTGTCATTTATTCAAATAATTATAATATACTGAAACCACTAAATACCACCAATACCACTAAATAACTCACTTTTAATTTCAGTTAAAAAGAAATACAGTCAAAAGTTGTTAATCCGGACTCGTCGAGACTTCGGCAATTCCGGATTATAGATCATCAGTTTAAATCTCGTAAGATGGCATGCAGAAATTCTAAAATTAAAAATATGAAACCGTAATTTATGAAATAAAGAACAATTATGATCTAAAGGGTATCAAAATTTACAAAAAAAAAAAAAAAAGCATAATATATATTTGCTTACTTTATTAAACATTTCTTTCAATGTAAGTTGTTTAAGTTGCTTCATTTTATGTGATAATACTTCTCTCTTAATTCTATAAACAGACATAATTTCTTGTTCAGTTACAAAGTCCCGCTGTTCAAGTCCCGTTAATTGTTGTGCCGAGGAGAATACCGACTAACTTGTCAATCGAAATTTTTTCGTTTTCACTAACCTCTCTGTCACATTCTTCATGTCTTTATCCATTTTTTGCAGCAATTCCACTTTTTGTTTGTTGGACATTGAAACATACTTTCGTTTTGTAGATCCTTTGGAAGTTCCAGCATGGGAAATTCTATTTGACATAATCGAAAGTTCAAGTTTACTTTTATAAAATTGCTCTTACAGTCTGCAAAAAATAATAAGCAAGATCCAATTTGAAGATTAAGGAACAACACAATCATTAACATTAACTGAAATAGATAATTAGATAATTTTAGCTTACACCGTCCATTATACATTATACGCGCAGGCGAAAACGTATTCTGCACTTGCGCACACGCATATGCGCAGTAGTCAAGGTCTTACGTGCACGCGTAAAATGCCTGTGCGCATGTGCCAACGCGGCACATCCACAGAAATTTTTAGCTTTGAGGTCCGGATTGTAGATCATTCCGGATTATGGATGTCCGAATTAACGACTTTTGACCAGTCAAAAGTCTTTAATCCGGACTCCTCGGGACTTCGGTGATTCCGGATTATCGATTTTTCGGGATTATAGATCATCAGTTTAAATCTGGTAAGATGGCATGCAGAAATTATAAAATTAAAAATATGAAACCGTAATTTATAAAATAATGAGCAATTATGATCTAAAAGGTATCAAAATTTACAAAAAAAAAAAAAAAAAAGCTTAATATTTATTTGTTTACTTTATTAAACATTTCTTTCAACGCGCATGCATAGAGCATACATTATGCATAGCCAAAATTAGAAAATTGCAACCAGAAAACTATTTGATTTGTATTTGTGATATTTATAATGACGAGGAATTTTGATTTAAATCATATCAAAGACAAAGTACATCGAGATGAAATACTACATTTAATAAGGAATTATAGCCGAATAAAATAAAAACATCTGCCCTGAAGATAACGATAGTGTTGACAAATCAACTTCCTGTTCATTGCGCACCGCCAAGTTCCCCCTCACCCCCGCGCAGACCAGCATGAAATTGATAAACAGATTTCGGAACGGTTAGATAAACAAAGGATATGCCTTTATCCATTTTTTGGAGCAATTCCACTTTTTGTTTGATGGACATGGAAACATACTTTCGTTTTCGTAGATCCTTTGGGAGCTCCAGCATCGGAAATTCTATTTGACATAATTGAAAGTTCAAGCTTACTTTTATAAAATTGCTCTTACAGTCTGCAAAAAATAATAAGCCGGATCCAATTCGAAGAACAACGCAATCATCAACATTAACTGAAATAGACAATTAGATAATTTTAGCTTATACCGTCCATTATACATTAATTGTGCAGCGAAAACGTATTCTGTGCTCGTGCAGACGCATAAGTGCAGTAGTCAATGTCTTACGTGCACGCGTAAAATGCCTGTGCGCATGTGCCAACGCGGCACATCCGCAGAAATTTTTAGCTTTGAGGTCCGGATTGTAGATCATTCCGGATTATGGGTGTCCGAATTAACGACTTTTGACCAGTCAAAAGTCTTTAATCCGGACTCGTCGGGACTTCGGTGATTCGGATTATCGATTTTTCGGGGGATTATAGATCATCAGTTTTAAATCTGGTAAGATGGCATGCAGAAATTATAAAATTAAAAATATGAAACCGTAATTTATAAAATAATGAGCAATTATGATCTAAAAAGATATCAAAATTTACAAAAAAAAAAAAAAAAAAAAAAAAAAAAAAAAAGAGCTTAATATTTATTTGTTTATTTTATTAAACATTTCTTTCAACGCGCATGCATAGAGCATACATTATGCATAGCCAAAATTAGAAAATTGCAACCAGAAAACTATTTGATTTGTATTTGTGATATTTATAATGACGAGGAATTTGATTTAAATCATATCAAAGACAAAGTACATCGAGATGAAATACTACATTTAATAAGGAATTATAGCCGAATAAAATAAAAACATCTGCCCTGAAGATAACGATAGTGTTGACAAATCAACTTCCTGTTCATTGCGCACCGCCAAGTTCCCCCTCACCCCCGCGCAGACCAGCATGAAATTGATAAACAGATTTCGGAACGGTTAGATAAACAAAGGATATGCCTTTATCCATTTTTTGGAGCAATTCCACTTTTTGTTTGATGGACATGGAAACATACTTTCGTTTTCGTAGATCCTTGGGAGCTCCAGCATCGGAAATTCTATTTGGACATAATTGAAAGTTCAAGCTTACTTTTATAAAATTGCTCTTACAGTCTGCAAAAAATAATAAGCCGGATCCAATTCGAAGAACAACGCAATCATCAACATTAACTGAAATAGACAATTAGATAATTTTAGCTTATACCGTCCATTATACATTAATTGCGCAGCGAAAACGTATTCTGTGCTCGTGCAGACGCATAAGTGCAGTAGTCAATGTCTTACGTGCACGCGTAAAATGCCTGTGCGCATGTGCCAACGCGGCACATCCGCAGAAATTTTTAGCTTTGAGGTCCGGATTGTAGATCATTCCGGATTATGGGTGTCCGAATTAACGACTTTTGACCAGTCAAAAGTCTTTAATCCGGACTCGTCGGGACTTTGGTGATTCCGGATTATCGATTTTTCGGGATTATAGATCATCAGTTTTAAATCTGGTAAGATGGCATGCAGAAATTATAAAATTAAAAATATGAAACCGTAATTTATAAAATAATGAGCAATTATGATCTAAAAGATATCAAAATTTACAAAAAAAAAAAAAAAAAAAAAAAAAAAAAAGAGCTTAATATTTATTTGTTTATTTTATTAAACATTTCTTTCAACGCGCATGCATAGAGCATACATTATGCATAGCCGAAATTAGAAAATTGCAACCAGAAAACTATTTGATTTGTATTTGTGATATTTATAATGACGAGGAATTTGATTTAAATCATATCAAAGACAAAGTACATCGAGATGAAATACTACATTTAATAAGGAATTATAGCCGAATAAAATAAAAACATCTGCCCTGAAGATAACGATAGTGTTGACAAATCAACTTCCTGTTCATTGCGCGCCGCCAAGTTCCCCCTCACCCCCGCGCAGACCAGCGTGAAATTGATAAACAGATTTCGGAACGGTTAGATAAACAAAGGATATGCCTTTATCTATTTTTTGGAGCAATTCCACTTTTTGTTTGATGGACATGGAAACATACTTTCGTTTTCGTAGATCCTTTGGGAGCTCCAGCATCGGAAATTCTATTTGACATAATTGAAAGTTCAAGCTTACTTTTATAAAATTGCTCTTACAGTCTGCAAAAAATAATAAGCCGGATCCAATTCGAAGATTAAGGAACAACGCAATCATCATCATTAACTCAAATAGACAATTAGATAATTTTAGCTTATACCGTCCATTATACATTAATTGCGCAGCGAAAGCGTATTCTGTGCTCGTGCACATGCAAATGCGCAGTCGTAAAGGTCTTACGTGCACGCTTAAACGCCTATGCGCATGCGTCAACACGGCGCATGCGCAGAAAGTTTTTAGCTTTGAGGTCTGGATTATAGATCATTCCGGATTATGGTGTCCGAATTAACGACTTTTGACTGTATCATTTATTTAAAGGTCCAAAGATCTTAACATACTGTAATTTTTTATTTCATTATGTGTATTTAGCTATTTCATTATGTGTATTTAGCTGTGACACGTTTTGATTTTTGACAATTTCATTAAAGCTGTTAAATCACATAGTTTATTTTATTTGTTTGTTTATGAAAATTGGCAAAAATATTAAATACATGAGATAATAGCTTTGTTTGTTCACCAGAAAATCAATATTAATGATTCTTAATATATGGTATATTCTGATGTTATTTTATTCATGCATTAGTATGTTTCTTTGATTTTAGTCTGGGCTTACACCACTCCATGTAGCCTCTTTTATGGGCTGCATGAATATTGTGATCTATCTCATTCAAAATGGAGCAAATCCTGATGTGCCTACAGTGAGAGGTGAAACTCCTCTGCATTTAGCTGCTCGTGCCAATCAGACAGATATCATTAGAATTCTTTTACGGAATGGTGCAAGTGTAGATGCAAGAGCTCGAGTAAGTGAATACTCTGTATTTTCACTTTTCTGTTGTTGTAGCTGATCTAACTAGTTCGAACTAATCAGAGCAAGTCCACAAATTTTATTGTGACAAGAAGTGCAAAACTGCATCTGCTTTTGGAATCAGACTTGAGCGCCATATATTATTTCATTTATTTATTATTTGCTTCACCATTTAAGGCTACACAGCATAGGTGACAGTATAAGTTTTGCCCAATTCGGCGCTAGTTTTGAAGGAGAGCATCCCAGGGGATGGATGCTCGGGTCTCCCACCTCTCTTCCCCTACCATCACAGCAATCAAGAGAATTTATGGTTTTATTGTATATTTTAGATGCCTTCTTGCTACACATACACCATGCATTTACAAACATCAATGCCTTCTGTGGGGTTCAAACTGTGGCTCTTTGGTAGGGTAGTCAGGAAAACGAAATACTATTCTGTTTGTGCAACATTTTCAATGTCTTTGGATAAGAAAAGAGGAATATTTAAAGCTACTTTATGAAAATGTAATTGTTAACAATATCATTTAAATATAGATATTGTTTTAGGAAGGGGAATTATGCTGAATTAAATCGTAATGTATATACCTTTTATTAATTTTATGATATTCCTTACTGCAACTAGTATTCTGTATAGTTTGCCCCTAGGCCATTGATTTACTTTTAAAAGAAATAATAATTGCTAAGTATCATAAACAGAGGGATTTAGTATATTTCTAATAATTTCAGTACAAGTTAAAAAAATGTTAATGTGATGAAATAAAATTTCTGGCAATGGCCTATAGTTTTAAATAAAAAATAGCATGCATTACCTTGAAATTAATTTTTTCGAAATGCCACATGTAAACAAGAATGAATATGTTTCTGCCCTTTTCAAACAGAAATATTTTCATTTAGCAATTCAAAAATGTTGCAAAATTTATCGCATTCAAATGTCTAGTGCAAAATAAGCAATGGTATTAATCAGAAAATGAAAAAGAAATCTATCATTATTCTTAAACTTTACACTGAAATAATTACTTTACACTAACAGAAGAATCTAAGTAAATGCTAAAAAATGTATGTACTATTTTTAATGCTCCTAAAGCAGAAAGCAAGCAGCAAATCTGATAGTGCAGAAACCACTTGGAAAGTCTTTAAATCCATCTGTAGCATCAATAAAAAAGATTTATAGCTTAACAAAATTAAAAACAGAATGTTCACTGGTTTTTACTGAAGTATGTAGCTGAACATAGAAAATGTGTGAGCACTGTTTTGAAAGATACGAGTGAAATTACAGAAGGTGTTTACATATTTTTAGAATGATTTTGAGAAAGAATAAAATTGGAATAAAAATTTTTGGCACCAGCTTATTTTTTTAAATGAAAAATATCTTCTGCTATCTTTAAATATACTTCTGTTTCAAAATGTTGCCTGTAAACAAACTGTGGATTGAGGGATATGTTTTTGTGCTTTCCAAAAAGAAATGCGCCTATTCCATAATTAAAAAACATTGTAAAATGTATAATATTAAAATTTTAAGCACAAAGGAAGCAAAATTATTAATCAGAAAGGGAAAAACTGTCATTAATTACTTCTACATGGAAAGAAGATTCCAAATGAATACCCAGAAAAAGCACGTATTGTCTCTAAGGTTTCTAAAACTAAATCATTGGTAACAAGAAAGAATCTGCCAATACATAAATCACTTACAAAGTATTTAAATGTAGAAACAATAAATAAATTAATAAACCAAGATTTACAACTTAAAAGAGCTGAAAAACATGATGTTCACCAGCTTTTGCTTAGGCAAATGATTCAGTATAGAGTAATTTGTAAAACCTTGTATAAAAACTATTTAGCAGGAGATAAATGGGATTATATTGTGACACTTGATGAAACATGAGTTTATCAAAATGACTTCAATAAAAAAAGGTCTATTTGTGATCATAAATGAAGAAAAAAATGTGCAGACTTGGTTCCATCTATGCAAAGAAAGTTTCAGTAACACGATTATGACTGTCACAGGATTCTCTTACAATGGGAAATAAAAAATAAAAAATCTGAGGTGACTACATCACTTCCTTGTGCGGAATATCAAATTATGCACAATTTTCATGCATTTCATTTAAACATATTAAATTAACAGTTAACAAATTTTGAATTAAATCTACTTTGTCAATAGCGCAGAAACCACAATAGAATAAATGCACTCTTTAAAGTTCACTATATTTTTTTACAGTAGCGACATTTCGGCACTAGGTTCACTTAACAGCATTACATCTCATTCATTTTATAACTCGGAGTGCACAAAAATTATATCATCTGAAGAATTACCACATGATCTATTCAAATATTATCATAAATCTAAAACGATGTGTAAAAGAAATTAAACAAATAAAAAAGAAACCATTTTTCACAGATGATTCAGTGCCGCTTACCTAATGCATGCACTACTAATTAATTCAATTCTCACTTCGTGGCAAGGCAAAAATACATAAAATATCAAAATATTTTCATCAAAAATTTAAAGATATAAAAAAACATAAAACACCAAGTATAGTTAAGAGAATTAAAAATACAATTTTTACAATTAAAATTACAGTTTCTTCACAAAAATAAGCTAATAACTTAAATGATAATTCCAGAATGAATTAAGAATAATTTAATTCATGATAATAAAAAAAGAAGACGTTACTTTGTTGTTGTGAAGTTTAGTTTCTGTAGATTGACAACAAATCCACTATTCTGCTAAGTTTCAAATATAATCAAATATGGCTTCCAATGCTAAACAAAAATTAGGCTTATCCACACTTAAAACTTTTAAATTATTGATAATTCCACAATTTCCATCCAGCAGGTTAAGTAAAGGCATAAAAACCTTAACTGGAAGATAAGAACAGCATAATTTCAATCATTTGTAAAGCAAAAAATGCACAATTAACAAACATATAAGAATAAAGTAACTGAGCCCACTGAGCGGAGTAACACAGTGGATATGTATATACATATATTTATATACTATTGCGTGGCTGATAGCAACCAAAATGGATGTGCTCATCTACATGTTATAGCAATCCTATATACAAAATTTCAACGTTCTGAGGCTACTCGTTTTTCAGTTATGCGAAATACGTACGTATAGACGCCATGAAAAAAATCTCTTCAGAATTCATTTTAGATCAGTTTTATAATTTTTTTTTTGGGAAAAAGAGTTCCTTTATTCTGTCCTTATGTACAGATGTCATGCAAAAACATCATTAAATTGCATTTGATCGCAGTCAAAATAGATATTTTCTATGAAATATGATACCCGAAAGTTTTCATGATTACAATACAGTACAAAGTCCGTAATCTGGACGTCCATTGTCTGGAATAATCTATAATCTGGATCTCAAAGCCGCAAACTTTTTTTTGGTATGCTTTATGCATGTGCGTAATGCATTTACGCATGTGCGTTAATGCACGTTTAAGCATGCACATGCATGTAGGAGGATGTGTCTCCAGATACGTTAAAAAATTTTTGGCATAATTTATGGCCAGCTGCCATATTTCATTGTGAGGATGATGAACATGAAAGCCGTGAATTTGAAGGTTTTCGGACATCGCAAACTAAAGGTGAAATTTTCTAGTTATTGGATTTTGTAAAGAAATGTAGAGAAGCGGTAATAAATAAAGATGATACAACAGAAGTTTTTCATTGTGTCGACAATGCCCCAATCATCAATGAATTAACGGACGGCGAAATCTGTAGTATGGTTCTAAATCCAGAAAATACCGCTTCTGAAAGGTGGAACTTTGTAACTGAACAAGAAATTATGTCTGTTTATAGAATTAAAGAGAAAGTATTAGCACAAAAAACGAAGCAACTTAAACAACTTACAGTGTAAGAAGTGTTTAATAAAGTAAACAAATAAATATGATTTTTTTTTTTTTTTTTTGTAAATTTTGATACCCTTTATATCATAATTGCTCTTTACTTCATAAATTACAGTTTCATATTTTTAATTGTATAATTTCTGCATGCCATCTTACAAGATTTAAATTGATGATCTATAATCCAGAAAAACCCCTAATCCAGAATTGCCGAAGTCCCGACGAGTCTGGATTACGGACTTTGTACTGTACTTCCTTTTTACTTCGTACAAGAAAGTAAAAATAGTGAAAAAATGCTGAAATCAGCTCAATGTAAAACTTCATCAAGACAAAATATAAGTCATACTTCAAAAAGTACGCTGCATTCCTGAAAAAAAATTAAGACTGATACAGGTATTGCATGTATACTTTTTCAACATATCCAAGCAATCTGGTGCTATTGCACTTTTGCTCTCTAGTAAAGAGCTCTTTCTAAGTTCAAATCCACCACAACTGGACTCTGGAAAGTAATGGAAGAAGACTGGAAATCAACAGCCCTTGAAATTTTATTAAAAGCTCTCCTATAATGGAAATCATGATGCAGATTTTATAATCCAGAAAAAATACTATCAGATCAAACATTTTAAAAAGTAGTCTTTGTATTTTAAACAGTCATTAAATAGCCTCAAAATCATTCTAAAATTGTGTAAACAACCTTTGTATATTGTGTCTCTTGATAAAGCACGCATATACTTAAAAGAATTTAAGTATTAAATTCTATTTATTATTGAAAACAAGAAGAAAAAGATGTGTAAACCTAGTTCTGACAATACAAAGTAAGTTTCAGTGAGGAATTATTGTAAATTTCTCCTAACAGTGAGAAACTGAAAATGAGAAAAGTGAAAAAATTGTCGGAATAAAGTCATACTATTATTAAAAAAGTGTTTTTAAATGAATATTTACAAGTACAGCTTCAAGTGGGCAGGACATCAGAATTTCATCATTGATCATACGGGTTTAGTCTCACTGCTCTAACTGTGCTGCTGTGCCCAATTTTAATACAGAAATGCCATGGGGGATGGTCTGTGGGTCTCCCATCATTTTTACCCTACCTTCATATTATCTGAGAGGATGTATACCAATTTAAGTGCCACCATGCTACAG